TCATTATTTTTTTTTAAATGTTTCATTTACTTGCAAGTACAAGATAACCATGTGCATAACATTAACAAACGGTAGCAGTATTTGGTAGTAATAATCAGGTCCAGTCCAAAGACTATTTCTACCTACGTAGCTATTAATAGCTACCTAGGTATTTAAAGCTACCAAAAGTAGCTATTTTTACCTACTTTATATAATTTCTGCATTTTGCGACCAAAAGACAAAACGGCGCAACATGGTGAATACCATATTTTTTTTATATGGTCACACTAATAATGAATACGACAAAAATTTTGTCAAAAAATGATTTCTTCTTGAATCGGCAATTTTACATTAGTTTCTATGCAAAATTGATAATATACGAAGTTTTCATTTTTTGGCCAAATTTTTGTCATATTCATCATCAGTGTGACTGTATCAAGAAATTGTGTGCTTACCATGTTGCGCCGTTCCTGCATTTGGCTACAAAATGCAAGTAAAGCAGAAAGTAGGTAAAAATAGCTACCTTGGGTAGCTTTAAATACCTACGTAGCTATTAATACCTACGTAGGTAGAAATAGTCTTTGGACTGGACCTGATAATACGAAATAAAATGTAATAAAAACAGCTGTTAAACAAAAATTAATCTTGCTACAAATTGCACAGTTTTTGTAGTATGTACTCTTCATTATTCTTCTGCTATATTGATTACTACGAGATTTAACTTTTTAGCATGCATGTATAAATACTGTATCTGACAATGCAGCATCGTGACATATCGTTACAAGTACCTACAAATTTTGTCAATATATCTACGTTTACTGAGTTTTTTCCCTAGCAGGCCGAAATATCTCCATCATGTCACCAGGAACAACACTCGTGCAGCTCGTAATAAGTGCTGCAATAAACAAACTGATGATTGTGTTTTTTCTCACCTGCATGGTTTTCCCGACGCTTCAGCTACTTTCGTTATTTCTAACCAATGAAAATTGTCCTTACTTTTCTGTTGCGTCATGCAATTTTATTGCACGCATCACTGAATTGTAGAACACACATCACAAGATTTCGAATATACATCACAAGATTATCGAACATACATCACAAGATTTCGAATATACATCACAAGATTTCGAACATACATCACAAGATTATAGAATATACATCACAAGATTTCGAATATACATCACAAGATATTGAATATACATCACAAGATTTTGAACATACATCACAAGATATTGAATATACATCACAAGATTTCGAATATACATCACAAGATTTCGAACATACATCACAAGATTATAGAATATACATATTTCGAATATACATCACAAGATTTCGAACATACATCACAAGATTATAGAATATACATCACAAGATTTCGAATATACATCACAAGATATTGAATATACATCACAAGATATTGAATATACATCACAAGATTTTGAACATACATCACAAGATATTGAATATACATCACAAGATTATAGAATATACATCACAAGATTTCGAACATACATCACAAGATTATAGAATATACATCACAAGTTTTAGAATATACATCACAAGATATTGAATATACATCACAAGATTTTGAACATACATCACAAGATATTGAATATACATCACAAGATTTCGAACATACATCACAAGATTTTGAATATACATCACAAGATTTTGAATATACATCACAAGATTTCGAACATACATCACAAGATTTTGAATATACATCACAAGATTATCAAATATTGCAACGTTTGACATGCCATAGATATTGATATTCAACTGTGCATGTTATTATTTGAGTACATTTGCAGTAATAAAATTACCTTGTTTGACTTTGAACATTCTTTGAAGTATCATTCCTTGCAAAATGGGACCAATAACGACTAAACTTTGTATAACAACTAAACTATGTACAATTATGTTTAATGGAGATATGGAAATAAGGAACAGTATCCAAGTTCAAAAGTCAATTGAAAAAAAAAAATTGAGAGCAGAGCAAAGACGGACCACTAAATCATCAGAATAGGAATCGTGTTCCATGGTGAAGTAAGCATCCCTTACCACGTACGCCTGCACTCCTTGTCACTATCAAGCAAACGGATAAAACGGTATACAATTCTGTGTAGTCTTACAGTGGGTATCAAAACGCCCGTCAGCATTCGACTGAATGAAAGGTTTTATTTTCTGACAAGGTCATTGCAGACTGTTAAGCAATAAGGATAAAAGGTTTATAGGTTGTGGAAGTTGTTCATAAAGAATTCTGTTGGGATATTTTAAGGGGATATAAGAATTGACAAACTTACCATGCAATTTTTGATTTAAACCTTGGCCAACAAATTTGAAGAATGCAAAAAGGCTTCACAAATGTATAATTTATAAAATTAAGCAATTTTTGCCACAAACCAACATAACCAATGAGAAAACATGGTAAAAACGTTACCGTAAAACGCCAACTTGAGACATGATAGAAGGCTCAAAATGCTATATCATCTTTAAGCAAATAAATTTCATATTTCATGTTAACAGAATTAATTATAATAGATGAATGATATCAAAAAACCAATATTGGACCTACGTTTAATAACAAAGGAAGTTAAGGGACTTCATTATTTCAATTTTATATACAGTACACTGAAATTATTTTAAAAAGTTAAAGTAAAGTACATTATACAAACGAAGAGGGTACTAAACTGTATCACTTGACCATATAGGGAAAAAAAAAACATAATTCTAATTTTTTTTATTTCAAGAGGAAAATCTTCTCCACTCTGTTCATTTGGAAAACAATAATGTTAACAGTCTATCTGCACATTGTCTTGCGAAATATTTGATAAAAATATCGAATTCCATTCCAAATCTTGTTATTTTCCAATGCTGCAGACATTATGATTCATGATTTTGCACAAGTTTGCAAAATAAATAATTCTCAGATATGAAAAAAAACTTTTTTAAAATGATCAAATGTCAATCTTGTTATTTATTGTATATTCGACTACTTATGATTCATATTCCTTACAAGCGTTTTGCATGGAAATAACAGGTTCTTAAAAGTGAATGAAAACCTTTTCGAATATCAAACATATTCTGATTTAATCTACATGTACAAGAAATAAATAAGTTTTCGATTATAAATAACATTTTAAACATATAAACCACAAGATATTAAGATAACAAAAGTATCAAATATTATATTATTAAATGGCTTGAAAAGAAAAACGACTAATTACTATAAGAAATAAAATGCATCGATACATACTTTGAAAGAGACAGAAAATTACATATATCCAAAGTTCTATAGACACCCACATCCCACTGCAATGCACTAGTAATGCAACAAACACCAAAATAAAATTATTGGACAATATTCAAACACAATTATATACATTTTGTGTCGTCACGAGATTCGATAGAGTACTGTTATTGACTTGTAACTAATCTCACGTGACCCTGAGGCTGAGAAAGGTATTGAAAGGATGGTTAGATACACAGAGTTCTGACCAACTCTAAGCAAATATTATGAAAACCATCGCTTTAAAATTGATTTGAATAAATTGGAGCACAATTCACTTTTTGAAAACTTATCTAAATACAATATATAGATTGATATTTGGAGTCAACTTTACTGAGTATATTAACGTGTTGTCGGTGATTTTCTATATTTTAATGTTACTGTTTTTAATTTGATTTGAGATCCTGGAAATATTTCTTAATAAATATCAAATTTTATTTTAAATGTAACATTATCAATGAAAGTCTGACTCCATATCTCCACTATATAATAAAATCGGAATCAATACTCAGGTATTGTTCTTTACATCCGTAGTATCAGAGTCACGGTTTTAAACAATTGGTTTTCAAATAGAGCAACGGCAAACTTAAAACCGTTTGTGAAATATCTGTACATTTGCTAAATACCGTTTGTTTCTAAATGATATCTGCAAATGATAGTTTTTTTAAAGAACATCAAATATGTCTTCCAATTTAAAGAAGCATGTACATGATTTTGAGAGTATTATCGTTGTCAGGTTATAGGCAAGGGATAGCGGAAAGTTTTAAACTACTGAACAGAAAACATCGAATTTTTAATTGATATTAGTTGTCTAATGTAACCAAATGAAGATTCGCTACTATTGATAAATCAATTCTCATTGTTTTCTCTTCTGAAGGAGGATTAAGCCAATCAACAAAATTATAGGTCAACATATATGCAGATAAAAATAGGTCAATATATATTCAGATAAAAAGACACAAAAATCAGGTCAACAGATATCAACATCAAAATCTTACGAAGGAAGATTCTGTAAAATCACATATTTTCGTGGGATCAAATTTTCGAGGTTTGTAAAAGAAATATTGATATGTGGAGATTTGATTTCATGGTTGGAGTGTAGTGTTGTGTAGTGATGCATAAGAAATTTAACATTTCAAGGTGGTTATGAATTCGAGTGTCTCTATAAACGCCAAAACAACGAAAATTAAACCCCTACGAAAATTAATGATTTCACAGAACTTAAAATTACTGTGTAATCACTTATTTTCATGACGGTTTGATTTTCGTTGTGTTCAAGGTATAGAGAGACCCATGAATTTATAGCCACATATCGAAATGTAAATTTTAAAATGCATTACTACTCAACACTTCTACAACAACGAAATCAAATCCTTACATACAAGTATTCTGAAGGTAGTAAAATACTTCAGTTTTTGTTCTGGACGAAGACTTAAAAATAATAAGAAATAAACAAAATCATATTAATCAAGGTATAGAAAACTATACGCATGTGCAGTTGCAAATTACATCGAAATTCTAAGCATCAAGAAGATGAAGCACTTCAAAACATGAGGAAGACCTTTATACAAGTATGTTGATTTTCAATCTCTATTCGAAGGGAAAAAAATAATAATAAACCTCTTTCTAAGAATAAAAATTCTTCGCTTAATTTTTGTTTTAATGAAAAATCAAAACTAGTACAGTATACAGAGAATGAAAAATATATATGTAGTCATTTCTAAAGTTTTAACTATCGGGTAAACAATCTAGTTTTAATAATTAACAAATTTGTTCCAAATCTTTTTAGTTCAATGACAAGAAACGGAAAATCCAAAGCAAATATTCCTCCAAGGAAGAGAATAATAATGATTACTCCGATGGAACCGAAAGTTTTGGCGGAAGGTCGTGGATCGTCTGCCGACGTTTTTCTACGGATAGTCGAAGACAATGACGATTTCTCTACCTCTAAATCTTTCCTGATTTCTGCGATTTTCGCATTTAATTCCTCTGTGGAGCTGATGGTAGGTGTATGTTGTACAACTGGACACGTACATGACTGTAGTGTGGTGGAGATCGTGTCTGTTGTCATGGCAGCAATGGTGGAGGTCATCACTTTCTCCGTCGTCATAGCAACAGAAGGGGCTAAATAATAATCTCGAGAATTTAGAAATTTAATTTTTCTAATTTGAGGAGTAAAACGTTTTTTTTATTTAAATAAAGAAGAGTAAAGATCACAAACAGTGATCGATCTCATAAAAATTTCAAACAATACAAGTTTGTAAACAGGGCATAAATAGGGACCCCTGATAAATAACAGAGGTGGGATCCGGTGTCAAGGAGGAGTGAGCATCCCCTGTTGACCGGTCCTGCTGGGTCCTATTTATAGATCCGATAGACAGAGCGTTCACGGTCAATTTCAGTTAAAGAAAAACAAAGACCTGGCCATTGGTATGAAAATAGAAACCTAAAATATGACCCAATAACTAGTAATTTAATTGTCTTATTCAAAACATACCTTGATTTGGGATGGTACTACATAGAAAATAACGGGGAGCATCACATTTCCCTGGATACCAATAGCCCAAATATAGATAAACACAGTGCCAGTCTGCATGGTTGAGATTTTTGGCGTAGAAATGTTCATATGTTTGGATCTGTCCAGAAAGCCGTCTTAGTCTGTAGTTTGAAGTTGTATCCACGTCATAACCAATGTAGATTTCATCAAAACTTCGCCTGCATGCAAAGAAATATAAGACATTACTATGAAGAAATCGTTGCTAAATTACAAAAATCATCTTTCATTAAAATCATAGAATTTTTTCACTTTTAATTTTTTTTAAATTCTACATTGTTAACGGGAAGGAAACATAAGGGCAATTGATTACCATTTTGAATCTTTTTTATAAAGTTCATATTTGATGTGTTAAATCAAGGGAAATTGAGAGATGAAACTACCCTTTTAAGAGAAATTGATATTTTGATATTTGTTTTTTTATTGATCTTTACTTTAACTGTAGAAGTATGCCCCTCTCTCTCTCTCTTTCTCTCTCTCTTTCTCTCTCTCTTTCTCTCTCTCTCTCTCTCTTCCCAAGCACGAAAATCCTATTTCGTGGGGGGGGGGGGGGGGTAGGTTCGAACTTCAGTACCAAAATTTTTTTTCCAAACAACACCACTTTCCCCATTTTTAAATATCCTCGATACAAAATGTCACATAATATTACATGCAATATCTCCTAAACCTTGGATAGAATGCTCTACCAAGCTACTAAAATAAAACTAGAGATACTGTGAGCAATAAGCTCACTAAAATTAATGATAACCCCCGCCTCCGTTTCTTCAGCAAAATTACTTTGTAAACATCAATGATTTTACATAAAATCATTCTAGAGTTAAAATTCAAAGGGCGCTGGAGTTCCTTATTGAAAGAAATAATTAAGTCTTCGGAGACCGTCTTCCAATAAATTGTTAAGATTCTAATGGACACTAATTGCACTCCTTTATTGGCCGACCCGTATTTTATTTTTCTATGAATCAGAATGTATTAAAAAAACGTCTACATGAGAGTAAGAAAACATTTGCTGTGGCCTTTGATAACTTGACATTCAGATTTATCAATTGACAACAGTAAACTTAGAGCATTAGAGCCTTTGATGATAAGGGTCAACTAATAACTATTGTTTGACAAACAAGATAACTTCAGGTTTTTGGTCGTAAACTTTCTTTCTTCATTTAGTAATACATGCATTCCACTATCATCTGCATAGGCTGTTTACATTTCCTAACTTATTCGATACTCAAGGACGTTTTCTACGTACAATTGATTTTAAATCGAGGCAAGCTACTGACAAATAAATTGATACACAGGGATGTCAAAAAATCTCGTTTAAAGTTAACATGCATCCTGTTTAAAAATATACATGTAACCTATTGTTGAGTCATAGTTTGGCACTCTTTCATACCAGTTGCTATGCCTTTTTATTTTTATTTTTAAAAAAAGAGTTCACTATGAAACGTCCGTCTATCTTATCAATACACATGACTCAAGGTGGGCGTGTCTTGTCAACAAGTGAAGCTTACTCCTCCTAGAAGCATGATGCCACCTCGGGGGTCTGTTTCAGTGCCCTATCAATAGAATTTACTGTTTAAATTTTTTTTTTTAAATTGATCACTGCCCGTTATCTTCATCCTTTTCATTGACAATGTTTTTCGTACCCTGCAATCAATGTTCAATAAATAAATATACAATGAAATGAAACAACACTGCCATGAAAATTCCTCACCCTATCTCTCTCCTTCATTCTCTCTCTCTCTCTCTCTCTCTCTCTCTCTCTCTCTCTCTCTCTCTCTCTCTCTCAGAAAGCAGTGGAATTCCGTTTTTACCCCAAATCAAATAAAATGAATTACCCTGCGGTGTCTAGGAGGGTGTTCACAATGTTTTGCATTGCGGTGTCGGTCATGACGGACAATGATCCACCATTGTCCGAACACGTTGCTTGGGCCAGAGCGAGATCCTTTTCTGAGACGCTTACCCAAAAGCACACACTACCGTAGCCAATGTCATTGTACAGAATGCTGTTTGATCCCATTCCATTGCAGGGGGCCGTAAGGCAATCTAGAAAAAAGATTTTGATTTATAAAAAAAACAACGTATCTTAAGATGAGCAGATTTTCACTTTGTCTAACCCCCCCCCCACCCCGGGCTTAAATATTATATGATATAAAACATCTTAAGCATAATCCTACAACGTGTTAAATTCATGTGTATGTGAATCCCGTTCACTACTCTGAAGAAAATAGTTTCTCTTCATCGAGTGATTCATTGAGGGGTAATATGAAAACCATCTACATGTATTCTTCTGTTTTTCAAAATAGAATAAGATGGTATAAAGACTATGTCCTGATCACAGTTGAAAATTATCTTTGCTTTAAAGGTTCATTATTTGTAACGTAGAGGAACTGGGGTTTAATTCTAAAAGCGATAATCAAAATTTTGCCCATACCTCCCTTCGTATAAGAAGGAAATTCTTAAAAACCACACCTATAGAGGATTCCTAATCTGGATTCTTATAAACAAAAAGGCATAGTAGATTACAATTAATACCGCTTTCTTTACCATATTTACTCTTTACTTAAATATTATCAGCAGTGAAGGAGAAACTTCTAGTGTTCTTTACAACAATATATTCGAAAAGTGGTGTTCATCAGATGTGGATAATTACAAACTCCAAGGAACTTTGGAATCTCAAAAACATTACCAATATCAATACCACCATATTACAAGACTTTTCCCCAAGTTGAATTAAAGTCCAGACTTTTTGACATCATAAATAGCTGCTTTTTTTTCAATGAAATCTCGAGATTCTGATAAGCAAATTTATATAGTTTCCGGAGTTTATTTCTTCCAACAATCTGTGGAGATTTTCAACTGAGCTCCGGTATAAGCATACCTATTATTAAGAAACTACTACAAGATTGAAAGACTTATAAGAAATATATCTCTGGTGGAAACTTTGCAGTCTTAGTTTTAGAAAAAGTTTTGTTTGTTGTTTTTTTTTATTAAAATGATTATCTGCTGGCTGCATGTATTATATATTGTTCAAGTCCTAATGGATTCTAGACCCCCGAGATGGAAAAGTTAGTCAGATATGTAATTTACCATTGTGAAAACACAGTGTTGGATTTTTGTTATTTCCCGGTCATGACAAGGACCTGTAGCACACGGCGGGTGTGACCGGTCTGCAGGGGATGCTCACTCCTCCGTGGCACCTGATCCCACATCTGATGTATTAGAGGTCCATGCTTCTTCTGCTCCTGATTTGCATTGTTTAGATACAATTTTGAGCTTGAATATTGTTCGTTGTCTGCAAATATCTCACTTAATTAAGAATTGTCTCGGAAGAATTTCTTAATATTGGAGTTGAAATTCCATTAACAAATTACTGATACTTACTTTGAAAAGCACAAAATAAAATACAAATCCATATAATTAACAATGAATCCATTTTTCTTTTTATCATATCTAGCTTGTGTATATACATGTAGCAACACAGTATAGATATATGAGACTAAAAAGTTGATATGTAGAACATACATGTATATATTTGATTTAATGGAATCAAACAGGATATAATTGTTTAACTTTTAACCATACTCAAACAATGGTCACTCAGTCCTCCACTTTGTGGGAGAGAAAGAAATGAGCCGAGGCCCAACTAGATCTCTTACACAAATTGAAATCGCCAATTTTTATGAAGTACTCGCAACAGACAATAAAAACAATATTCTCTTTATTCTTCTTGCTTAAAACTATATTTTTTTTAAGTTGAGTTACAAGTAGGTATACGAGCATAATTACAAAATTTAATAGCGTAGTACCGTTAAAGCTGTCTGATCAAACGCTTGTGCAATCCGTTACACTGTGAATTTCGACATGTATTTTAAAATTTACGTTTTTTAATCCAACATATGCATGTATTTATTTATTTCTTTTTTTTGCGTCCCCTTCTTTTTACTTGGGTAACTAATGAAGAAGAAAAAGTAATTATTTCACAACTTTTAGAAGCAAATATTTTTCAGTATGTACATGTATTATATTTTCAAGATATGAACAACTTTGTCTGAACTGGTGTCTGGATCATAACCTTGGATTTTGGATAAAGATTTTAAAAAAATTCATGAGTAAAACATATTTTATATGATATATACAATTAATACATTTTCAATATATAAAAGCCAAGGACTGCAAATTTCATGATTTTGCTGGAGTTCATATCAATCATGAATTTTTGATGTCCTCTATTTAAGGTTTCGTCAAAGATCAACATGTCCAACAATTTATTTTTACAACAGCTCCAAAACTATGTGAGGTATAAAGTTAAAACTTTTATAGTTTATAAATATATCATCGATTAACAGATGGAAAGTATCACTTGATAACAAATATAGAAAAAAATTATTGAGAAAAATTCTTTTAAAAAATGCAATATATATATATATATATATATATATATATATATATATATATATATATATATATATAAAGCACTAAAAATGACCAACGACACGAACAATAAAAATTGTCAAATTTTCGGGACGCCCTGTCCCTTCCTCAGGACAAAGAAAAGAGTTAAAAAGTCATAAGAACAAAGGAAAAAGCGAAACAAAAAACAACTAGCACTACTACTAAACTACTAAACACTATTTATTTACATACTTAGTTACATGTTGATTTGGAAATTTTTAAGAACACTCTTAAAGAAAGAATCCGGACCGCTATGAAATGCGTCCGGTCTATCGGGTATATTCGGGTGAAGTGCGATTTACATAATTGAACGAATTAATTATGCTAGTTAATTACGACAATCAGTAAATCGTACATTTTCATTCTCTCAAAATGGCGTAACTATACTTGATAAAGAATAACCAAAGGAAAATAATATAAAAGGGGCATTTTAACATATGAATTATGATCTATTATAAATTTTAATTTGAAATGTTTTAGGACTGATTATCGGTAAAAAATAATTAAGAATTAATTAACAAAGGCGTAAGCAATACATAGTTATGTGGGTTGTTCGAGAGTTGGTGACGCAAATTAACTGTAGAGTTTACACTAAATTGAGAGAATAATCTTGTTTGGTATCATCAGGAATCGGGTCTAGTTTACGTTCATTCTGGTGAAGTCATTCAGTTTGTTAATACATGTACCATTGGGGCGGAATGACTTAAATCTGTGCATCCAGAACTTTTCTTTGCTTTTTCTCTGAGCGTCTGTCCATCTTGGGTTATGATCAATCACCACTACTGTCATGTCCTCCCATTTGTGACCCTCAAGGTTGAAATGTTCCCCAACGGGTTCATTGAGTTTTTTGGTCCTAATGGTCGAACGGTGGTTATTGACTCTCCTGCGGAGATCTCCTGTTTCACCAATATACTGTTTGGAGCAAACTTTGCAACTGATGAGATAAATGCAGTTGTCGGTATGACAGGACAAACTTCCTAGTATTTTGTAGCTGCGGCCTGTAACAGGGCTGTTAAAACTGTCTGTGTCAGTGCTGTGCTTACAAAGAAGACATCTTCTGTCAGAGCAAGTCTTGAAGCCCCCGTTAGGTAATGGGTTGTCCAGTCTGGTTCTTACTACCATGTCCTTTAGGTTCCTAGGGCGTCTGTATGCAGCCAATGGGGGTTCCTTAAAGACCTCTGCCATTCGTTTGTTTGAATGGAGAATTGGTAGGTTCTTTTGAAGGATACCGCTTAGGTTCTTAAGGACGGGATGGTATGTGGTTACCAGAGGGACCCTACCGCTATTTTCTTTCTCTTTGTAGCGTAATAGGTTTTGCCTGTCATGTCCCGCCATCTCATCAATAGCTGTTTGTACGTTGCGGGCATTGTAGCCTCTTTTGCATAGGTGGGACTTAAGAAGACCACTTTGCTCCTGATATAAGCCAGGGGACGAACAGATGCGTCGAATTCTGGTGGCTAGACCCTTAGGCACTCCCTTAAAAGTGTGTGGGGGATGACAGCTAGTGGGCATAAGATATAGGTGGGAATCTGTGGGTTTGGTGTGGAGACTGAATTCGATTTCACCATCAATCAGGGTAGATGTGGTATCTAGAAATACGTTTTTCGAATTAGATACGTCTACTGTGAATTTGATCGACTGATGAAAGGTGTTGGCAAACGTAATGAATGCCTCGAGGCTCTCGCGACATTCCACCCACTTCATCTCTATATCGTCAATGAAACGCAACCAGCTATGGGGCCTAAATGGTGCTTGAAGTAACAAGTTGCGTTCCAGTCTGCCCATGAAGACATTGGCATAAGATGGTGCCATTTTCGTACCCATAGCAGTGCCATTAACCTGCAGGTAATGTTCTCCATTAAACATGAAGTTGTTGAACTTGAGGACGTGTTCAAGGAGCTTGGCAAGGGACTCGGTAGAAGGAATTTGTATGGACCTACTGTCCCAGACTTCTCTACAGGCTTCTATACCCTCATCGTGCGGAATATTGGTGTACAAAGATGTGACGTCCATAGTCACGAGGAGGGTATGATCTGGGAGGCCAGTAGAGGGCGTCTTGTTAATGTAGTCCGTGGTGTCCTTGAGATAGGATGGCAAATTTTCTACGTGTGGACGGAGATGTAAATCAATGAATTCAGAAATTTTCTCCGTGGGATGTCCAATTGCGCTGACTATGGGGCGACCTGGCATGCCTTCTTTGTGTATTTTAGGAAGCAGATAGAATTGTCCTGGTCTACAGTCAATAGGATTTAAGGTCTCATAGACGTTGATACCAATCTCATTTTTCTCAAACATATCGTCAAGAGTTTTGGTAATGGCGGTGGAGAATTCTTTAGTAGGGTCAGAGTCCAGTTTCTTATAGAAACGTTCGTCTGAGAGTTGTCTTTGTGCCTCCGCCATGTAAATCTCTTTATCCAGTACGACAACTGTAGAGCCTTTGTCTGCTTTCTTGATTACAATGTCATCCCGATTTTTTAATGATTGTAAGGCAGATCTCTCTTCCTTACTCAAATTGTCGGGAGTCTTGTCTGGCACTGAAAGGAGCTTCTCTATGTCTGACTCAACGGCGTCAATATACGACTCAAGCGCGCCACACTTGCCCGGTGCAGGTTCCCAGTCACTGTAGAAACAATAAATGTTTATCAATGAAGGGCAAGTTGGACTTCGATAGCCTCTGGAAAGTTGTTTTCCCTGTTTATTTTGTCACAAATGTTAAGATTTGAAACCGAAAGTACATTGCAAATGGTGGATTTTATAGGGGTTTTGTCTTTATAAATGTCATGCTTTCAATAACAACCTTTCAGAGACCATTCACGTCCAACTTGCCCTCCATTGATACACATATATTATTTCTGCAATGATGATTTCACAAAAAAGCAAGTGCATTTTCTTTAAATATATGCACATTTTTTATACATATATTTTCTCAAAAAATATCTTTTTTAAAATATTTGTTTTTTAAGTGATACTTTCTATCTGTAAAGCAATGATATATTTATAAAATGTAAAAAAAAAAAATTAACTTTACACCTCACATAGTTTTTTGGACATGTTGACCTTTGACAAATCCTTAAGAGTTTGATTGTTTAATTGTATGGTTATGATCACATCCCTATGCATATAAAGGAACTTCTGAATTTTCTTCCTCTTTATCTTTCAAAAGATGCTTTTAACCAAAACTAATGGTAAATCCTGAAGGTTCAACTGTTCAAGACAATAAGGTGAACATTAGTTTATGCTCGACATACTTTGCAGCTGCATCATGAAGAACAAAAACGGACAGCTAGGTCAATGCAACATTGACAATTTAAAAGAAAATCAAGCTCCGAATTCATTTTAATGGACTGTCCTTAATCTATTTTTTTTTCAAAAAGCATATACAAAGCCGTATGTCCATCATTTCAAGCAATAAACACTGTACAAAAATAAAAATTAATCCCCAATGAATTCCTAATATTGACAGCTATACAAATTTTCAGGTCTTTAATGCTTGGGTCATGGGGGACATATATTATGTTTTTATGCCCATTAATTAAATCTCCTTTAAAATATATAAACAAATGATATTGATTTTATCAATTGATATCATCCCAACTGGATACCTATATTTATCCTCAATGGTAACCTTGATCTGTTTACTGTCACATTTTAAAGGGGCATATTTAATAATTAATGCTTGTGAATTTCAATTCTTAAAAATCCTTTTTTTTTTTCCCAATATTATTGATTCCTTTGAATTTCTCACCTCCTGTGTACATAATGCCTTGCCATTATCTCCTGAATTCCAGTCAGATACTTTATAAATTTTATAACAGCAGCCTTTTATGGTAGATACAAAATTGATCTTTCCAACACTTGACCTAAATCCTATGTAAAAGGAATTCCAACAAAGCACTAAAATAACTCCCATCATTCATGGTAGTCCGTAACTTATCTAGGATTTAAACCATAGAATAACCTACATTTAAAGTAATTGAAAACAATACTAACATTGATATTTTCACCCATCTTTTAAAGATTTTAATTGCAATTAATTAATACTTCACTAGAATTGGGAGTGGGAGGACAAGGATTCATTTAAATGTCAAAAGGCACTGAAGTTCTTCAAAAGCTATACAAGTCTTTTTTTCAATAACTTCTGTTTTTTTCATATATTTTTTTCCTCCTGAAGAAGAAATATCATTTATTATTATAAACTTTAAATTCAGTGATCATCCAATTCTTTCAGACCAAATTCATCCCCCAATAATGAATGTCAAACCTCAATTATTGTATATTGAATTCAAAATACCAATAACACTTCTTGACAAATTAAAATGAATTTATTTATCAAATTGTCTAGTATGATGTCTGTCAACAGTTGATTCACTAGCCCAACAAAAATTAATGGAGACGTAACAAAATAAAATGATCTAATAGAGCGAAGTTTAAAAATTTCATCTTCTTCTTCCTCTTTCTCTGCTCCGGTCATTACTTCTGCTGCGTTTTCTGGCCCCCCTGTCCCTGCTGCGGCTCCCGCTGCGATTTCTGAGGGGTCTGTCTCGACTGCGACTCCTGGTACTGATTCCCCCCTCCGACGGTCATCATCCCCTCGCCAGGGACTTCTCTCCCTTCTTTCCTGCAAAGTTTTTACAAAGACCCAAAATATTTAAAGCTAGAAATAATATATTGAGTCAATATAACAAGTAATCAAACTTTGTAAAATAAGGTAAAAGCAGAAAATTTCGTTGGGGATTAAATTTTGTTTATTTCATTGTTAACAATTACCAACGAAATCCCACACAAAATTTTCATACGACTATGTTTTGAATAGAGTTACTTTCAAAACAACGAAATTTAATGCCTACCAAACCATTTTAAATAACAAATTAACAAAATTTTATCCCCACAAAAATTTGTGTTTCTACTGTATCTGTTAGAGAGTTGGACAAAAAAACTTACTTGTAATCTCTTAGCTGCATTTTCTTCTCTCTCTTTCCACATTTTCTCTTGTTCTTCTTTTTCC